ATGAGTTGGTTTCCTCGAATATCGACAAAACTAGCCAAGAATGGTCAAAGCGTTTTCAAATTCTTTGCGTTGAAGAGTGATAATTCTTCATACGGAGAGGGCTAAGTATTTCAGAAATTTTGTGAGTACTTTGTGTGTTAGTGAGGCATTCGTTTCGAAAATACAGAGACTTTACACAAATACACTTGATGTCAGAGAACAGCTCGGGAAATTGTGCTATTTTGAACGTCTAATAATCAAGATATCTGCGGCTATATGCAAGAAATACCAACATGAATCGATTTACAGCATTCAATTACTGCTAGAAAGGATCTAAAATAATATTACCTGTCAAATGACCGATGTTTTGACTTTCTCTATATTTTCGAAACAAATGCTTCACTAACACATGCACAAACTACTACAAAATTTCTGAAATACTTAGCCCTCTCTGTTTGAAGAATTATCACTCTTCAACGCAAAGAATTTGAATTCTTGGCTAGCTTTGTCGATATTCGAGGATACTAATTCATGTTGGGGGAGGAGCTATCCAATGGGATAATCCAGTAGGATTTTTCGTGCGACTCCCTACGTGTTATCCGTAACGCTGTAAGTAAATAGATTTTTTCGTTGAAATCTTATTATTTTCACTTCGATTGTAGACAAGCAGGGGCGAGCGCCTGCCAGTTAAAAAGACAAGTCTAACACGCGTGGCCGAGTCGGCGGGCCCAGATGAGCCATATTTCTTTGATTTCTTTATTTGCCAAAAAATAAATGAATTCAATCAGATATAGCACAGGGAAACCGGTAAAGATAATTTAGTGAATGAAATTACTATAAAATAATAATATAATAAATCAGGTGGTGTTGGACACAGCGCGAAAAGGACCCCGGGTTTTAATTTTGACCAATCATGTTGTGCCATTTCCAATTTGGCGGGAATCTCAAAAGCGGAGATGACGACGTCCCAGGACTCGATATGTGTGTACAAAAATACGTTTTTAGAAGAACTTTGAAGCACTATTTGACAAAGAACACAAGAAATCGGTAGTATATTTTATACTTTTGTGGATGCTTAAATATTTTCCGCATATATTTTTGCTTCATATCGAAAAAATAGCTTTTAAAATTTTGTTGTCTTTTCTTGTTTTTGACATTGCCAGACGTTTTTCACAGTTGTGATCGAAATATTGAATCAATTGTCTTGATTTTAACAATGTAAAACGAGAAATAAATTCATAATGTCCTGGTTGCATGGCGCACGATGGCACAGCAGTATTTATTCACTTTTGAAGCAGCTAAAGTTAGCGAATTTTGATTCTTCGTAGAAATTATGCTCTTAATTTTACTTATTTTTTTCGATATTTATCATGGGTTATATCTCAATATGTGTTTTTACCATTTTTGTGGTAAGTTAAAAGAATATAAAAGCGTCTGTACAAGGCATAATAATAAAGAATTCGAACAAAAAACACAAGGTTTCCCGCCAAAATTTTGACCTTGAACAACTTTAGACGCGAGCGTCATCTCTCATAGTCAAGGTCAACTTCACTTTTGAAATATTGACAGTGTTAAGATTGGAAAAGTCAATCCCTTCTTGCATTTTTGCAACATTTTATAATGTCAAACAAACGATTATTGCTTTCCTTTGTAATTTACCGGATCAGGAGCCCATTACTAGGAGCCTTCCTCTTCCCATTGGCTTGWGGAACGGCATTTACCCCTCTTGGTGCTATTTTTAGATTTTCCCGTCATTCCCCTTGCGCTTATTGAGATGTCGAGTTGTGATCGAAGAGCCGCCGGCCGCCGCTATCAGGTGTTTTTAGATTGAATTTTAAGTTGTACAAGTGAAGAAATTTTCGCTTTTACAAAAACTATTTTGTAACAAAGGTTCAATGGCACCATTAACTATTATATTTAAATGTCTAAAGATAGTGAAAAGGTATAAAAAATAAGCGAAAAAGCTCATACATGAAAGAATCGACATTTCTGGTTTCTTTTACCGACGAATCTGATCAAAAAGCATGACAGTGAACACAAAATAATCTATTCTTATAATGAGTTCTTCATCTAAAAAATGGGACATCACAAAGGTAAAAAGTAGCATTTAATAAATTTGTTTGTGACAGTTTTGTACAATATTTTGCATCTAAACAAAAACTCTTCACAAATGAAGTTACCTTAAGCTTTATGGAATTTCGGCGCCTTTTTTCTTGAACAGCCGATAAACAGTCCTCTAAAATGTTGTTGTTTTATGGTCATATAAATTAGTCAAACCAAAAAAAGTTCCATTCAATGTCCATTTGCATGTAAAAATTTGCAAGCTTACTTGCTTCAGTCATGTTCAGTTTGCTCAAGTTTGCTCTAGTTGAAAATTTTCCGCTTTTGTACAATTTGAACCTTCGTTCCTCGTCTTCAACAGCCATTTGATTTCAAATTCTGTTTATCAGTTAAAGATGCAGAGTGTGATTTTGTTGGTCTTCGGCAGCTCAATGAAAAGTTCATAATTGTTGGCTGTTGTTTTTTCTCCAGATTTCCCCCTGTATTCCCAAGAGTAATTATACCTGTTTTCCATCACTGGCTTCCTCATCGGCTAAATATGAAGCAAAAGGTGATTCTGCTTTCCTTTTTTGGGACATATTTCTACTAAAAGTTAACTTTAAACAACCTAAAAATGAATTTTGAAAAAGTCTAGTACTAAGATCTTCCTCGCCGGCGGTCGACCGGCGGCCGTCGGTCATTCAGAAACCTATTGTTCAAGTCGCTTTCTGATTGGCTGTTTTGCGCTGAATTTATAACGAGCAAATCTAAAAATAGCACCAAGAGGGGTAAATGCCGTTCCAAGAGCTTATGAAGAAGAGGAAGGCTCCTAGTAATGGGCTCCTGGCCTGATTAACTACGCTTCGCCTGATTGACTGCGTTTTGAACTTCGCGCCCAAACTAGCCGAAAAGTCCCGGATGTGGCCGGGTATTCTGTGCGATGGAATTGCAAAACATGAGTGTCATTCATATCGCTGGTATGTTTGTGCTTTCTCGTAATAAAATGAGCTTAGTTTTCTCACAATTGCTCGAAAAATTCGATCTTTTCATAAGGTTTCAGTGTTGATCTAGCTTTCTTTTTTCGCATACTACTGAGCTCTATTATGACTTTTTACTTATTTTCAGGATACGTTTCAAGTTTTTCTCAGATTTCGCCTTTATTTTGCCTTTCAATCAACTCCGACGGAGCTCCTCACAGCTCAAAGGTTAGTGACAAATGAAACCATTTTTGAATTTTAACCCAGGATCCTTTTCGCGCTGTGTCCAACACGGCCTGATAATAAATAATTCTGAACACAAGTATCGCAGGCTCAAGTTTACAGGAAAGTGAGTGAGTGACTTAGTGAGTGACAGATTTGTCCCCCTCCAATAACTCTTCGATTGCTTCGCAATCTTTGAGTAAAAAATGAGAGTTGAAGTGGTGTTTATCTATGCTTTACTGCATGGTCTCATACGGAAAATGACACCTTGAACTTTGTCAGGATTTTTATGGCGGAACTCCGCGAGCGGAGCACCATAGCTAAGAAAAAATGGTATATCCATCGAGTCGATTTTCAATGGACCAACACAGGACTCCCGCGCGTGCGCACGTTTCCTTCGGGCGTCCGTGTACCACCACAGGAAAACCAATCTCCAAAAGTGCCAAAATATTTGTTGATACATAGAATTTGTTTCTTAAACACTTATCTTCCAAAAAAAGTAATCACAAGAAAAAAATCCAGAGGAGAGCGAAATCAAAGCACAGAAATATTCCCGCCAATTTTGTCATAAGTACGACGCGTCCGCACATCCGGGAAATCGATTTGCGAAGATTAAAAGCAATTTACTTTCGTCAAGCGTTTGAGGCTCAGTTTTTATGAATAACAGGATGACTTTTCGCATTGACATTTCGAAAACAAGAAAAAGATGATGCTATATTGAAAATACTGCAAAAAATATGGGGAAAAGCAAAAATCTGTGTGAATTTTGGTTGCCAAGAAGTATGGGGATTTCGCTGAAACCAAGACCATCGATCAGTAGAACTCGATTGATTAAAAAAAAAAAACACAGAAAATCAACAAAATTGCACGGAGCCTTGAATGACTTTATAAATTAATGAAAACTTTGCTTGAAACAAGTATGGTTCTGTTTAAGATGTCAATTGAACGATTTATCTGAAGTTTGAATAACAAAGGTAAAAAAATATATATTTTTGTAACTTATACAGTTTTCTGTGATGTGAAGTTCGAGTAGGGAAGGGTTCAAACATCGAACTTTTGCCGCGTTTAATCCGAATGATTATGTAAGCTTATGTACACTATTTTTGCCGACAAGTTCAACAAGCTTTCAGTTTTATTTAAATCAAATGACCTTTATAAAGGTCAAAATAACTCCGTCCAACGAAACAAAATCTACCGAGGTCAATATTACATTTAGAGTACGAAATTCTCATAAACATACTCTTTCTTAAGCTAAAATGAATAAATATGTTTAGGATATAGCTATTTCAAAAAAGGTTGTCGAATAATCTGGCTAATGTCAATGGTCAAACGGCGATTGCACGACCGAAAGTAGTCATGGGTTTTGGTAGTTGAAAGGCAATCACAACTGATTTATACTGTAACATAGTCTGTGGTAAACACTGGATCGTTTAGTCTCCATTTCTATGTAAGGTGAATCCAATAAGTGAATTTTTGTTTAGTCGAAGCAGTGCAACCATTAGTCCAGTCCTGGCCTCTCGTTTCCGACGCTCGCGGAATCGCTGGGGAAAGAGAGTCCAGTATAACTTGCATGCGCATGTGCAGGACCAGCCAATCAGATTAAAGTTGAATTTTGAGAGCCCGCAACAAAAAATAATGGCATAACTAACGGCATTTAGAAAAGCCGGTCCAAAATTATCTTTGTATTTCAAGTGGAAACTACCTTATACCGCGCTCTCCGCCATCTTGGTGTAATTGTATAGGACTAGGTAACCTCGTGATTACCACATCGGCTCCGTTATTAGGTGTTATTTTTATATTACTTACAGTTGGATGATGAGTGTTTATTCCATTCAAAATCTATGCAACAATATGGAGGAAATCTGCCTACAACACAAAAAAGTTTGACATTAGCTAAAAACTAAAGCACGGTACTCATCTATCCATCAGTATAATACGGTCGTATTCAGGGGCGACGGAGCCGGGTTAGGGGGGGGGGGGGGGGGGGGGGTGGGGGCGTGGGCGTGGGAAATATTCAGTTCACTTGCATGTTGTGCTTATTTTAAAAAAATGACCAGAAAAAAAAAAATACCATTTAATTCGACGATCAAAAACAAGCCAATCTTATTTGAAATATCTTTATCTAACGCAGTAAGCAGAGTAACTTACTATATTCAATGTGTTTTAGACATAAACCATCTTCTAGCCTAATATCGTCTATAGCAATGTCACCTTCGTCACCGTCAATTTCTCCTTCAAAGATGATCTACAAAATTACAAGGAAGAAATAAGTGAAAGCGCTATTATATTTAGCCGAGGAAAAAATTGGCTAGTTTGCATTATTCATTGAATTATTACTATCATCTGGGTATTAATCCCCATTTATCAACACCTTAGAATATGCCTTATAAAAAGCTTGGCATAACTGGCATAAGCGTCAGGCAGCCTGACGGAGTGAAGAAAAAAAACTAAGCCTTCAACAAACGATTTTTTTAGTCGATGGGACAAAAATTATTTTACAGCCAAAAGTAATAGAACCGTACAAGTGAAATGTAAGGCTGTACACTATACACAAGAAGCAGTTTGAGATTTTTCGATTGCCTGTGTTCCTAAAAAATTAAATGTCAGGTACTGGACAATTTAGAAAAATGTTGCTAGAAAAGTCATAATTTCAAGAGATATAGCAAGAGATTTTGCACAACTGTTCGACAAGGTTGCGCCTCATTGCACTCGCTCAGAAATTTTTGATTGCCTGACGGAGTGTTATGAAAAACTAACGTCAGGCAATCTTGGATTTTTCCCCCGTAAAATCGAATCAAGCCGCCAATGGCAACACAACTCGAAGATTGATTGTGTAGACGAATAAAGAACGATACGATGAATCAAATTATTATTACTTGACAGATAGAATTTTGAGTATCTGATTTATGAA